GCCCAGGCTGGAGTGCAGTGGCCAGATCTCAGCTCACTGCAAGCTCCGCCTCCCGGGTTCACGCCATTCTCCTGCCTCAGTCTCCGGAGTAGCTGGGACTACAGACGCCCGCCACCTCGCCCGGCTAGTTTTTTGTATTTTTTTAGTGGAGACGGGGTTTCACCATGTTAGCTAGGATGGTCTTGATCTTGTGACCTCGTGATCCACCCGTCTTGGCCTCCCAAAGTGCTGGGATTACAGGCTTGAGCCACCGCACCCGGCCAGAACTTACGTTTTTCTTATTTTGTTTTTAGGGGTAGTATCAGCCATCAAAGTAAAGAGGAAAGCATAAATCCAGGAGGGCAGTGATCTATTTCCTTGAACACAGAATCTAGGACCTAGAAGTTTCTCAGCCCTACAGTAGGCACCCAATAAATATTTATTGAGTGAATGAACAAATGAATATTTAAGGACAGTGGGAGTTAATTTCTTTGGTATTTACATCTTAGTACCAAGGATTCCAGCGAGCTATAGAGAACTATTCTTAATGATTTCAACATCAGCTAGGCCAAGTTGGCTGCAAACATTATCTGATTTCCTGAAGACAATGAACAGCTTTCTAGCCTTTAACTTATTCAAACATTAAGAGTTACAGACAATCCTTGCATTCCTACGCAGAACTTCCTTTTCTCTGAAAAGAGGGTAGAGCTTAAACTTAACCACAAGAGGAGAAACTGCTACATGTTGGCAGTTTTGACAGAATAACTTAAAAACATTTTTATTCTTCTTCCTTCTAAATGTTCATACAACATGATTTCTTAACACGAGACAAATTTCATGCTAGATTTTAAAGGATAAGAAACTAAAGCAAAGATAAAAGGTAGGCCAGATGCAGCGGCTCACACCTGTAATACCAGTACTTTGGGAGGCTGAGGCAAGAGGATTGCTTGAGCTCAGGAGTTAGAAATTGTCCTGGCAGCTGGGAATGGTGGCTTACCCAGGTGCAGTGGTAATCCCAGCATTTTGGGAGGCTGAGGTGGGCAGGATCACCTGAGGTCAGGAGTTCGAGGCCAGCCTGGCCAACATGGTGAAATCCTGTCTCTAGTAAAAATACAAAAAGTAGATGGGCATGGTGGCAGGCGCCTGTAATCCTGGCTATTCAGGAGGCTGAGGCAGGAGAATCTCTTGAACCCAGGAGGCGGAGGTTGCAGTGAGCCTAAGGTTGCAGTGAGCTGAAGGTTGCAGTGAGCCAAGATTGTGCCACCTCACTCCAGCCTGGGCAAAAGAGCGAGACTCTGTCTCAAAAAAAAAAAAAGAAAAGATAAGAAAAGAAAAGAAAAAGAAACCGGTCTGGGAAACACAGGAAGACATCAGCTCTACTAAAAAAATTAAATAAAATTAGGCAGGCATGGTGGTGTGTACTTACAGCCCCTGCTACTTGGGGATCTGAGACAGGAGGATGGCTTGAGCCCAGGAAGTCAAGGCTGCAGTGAGTTTTGATCATGCCACTGCACTCCAGCTTGGGTGACAGAGCAAGACTCTGGCTCAAAAAAAAAAAAAAAAAAAGAGGCTGGGTGTGGTGGCTCAAGCCCGTAATCCCAACACTTGGGGAGGCCAAACCGGGTGTTCAGGAGCCTGGGCAACATGCTGAAACCTCATCTCTACTAAAAATACAAAAAATTAGCCGGGTGTGATGGCACGTGCCTGTACTCCCAGCTACTTGGGACACTGAGATGGGAGGATCACTTGAGCCTGGGAGGCAGAGCTTGCAGTGAGCCGAGATTGTGCCACTGCACTCCAGCCTGGGTGACAGCAAGGTCCTGTCTCAAAAAAAAAAAAAAAAGATAAAAAGTATGCCAAGAGTTTCTGAAAAGGTTAAACAAAAGGTTACCTTTGATCCACCAATTCCTAGCTATATTCTAAAAGAACTGAAAACATGTTCACACAAAAAGTTGTTCACAAATTCTTTACAGAAGCATAATAGTCAAAAGTGGAATTAATCCAATAATCCAAATGTCCATTAATTGATGAATGGATAAATAAAATGTGGTATATCCACATAACAATCACTCAGCCATAAAAATGTTTGAAGTACTGTTACGTGCTACCACATCAATGAACCTTGAAACATTATTCTAAGTCAAAGAAGTCAGTCACAAGGGGCTACATATCGTATGAATTCAATTATATGAAATGACCAGAATAGGCAAATCCATGGAGACAGAAAGTTTTGTGGTTGCCAGGGGATATGGGAGTGACAGCTAAGGAGTTCTTTTGGGGGTGATGAATACATACTTGAATTAGACAGTGGTGATGGTTGGACAACTCTATGAATATACTAAAAACCTTTGAATTGTAAACGTTAAGGCATGACTTTTATGGCAAGTGAATTATATCTCAATAAAAAAGTCACATGCCAGGCAGCACAGTGGCTCATACCTGTAATTCCATCTCTGGAAGGCAGAGGTGGGAGGATCTTTTGAGCCCTGGAGTTGGAGACCAGCCTGGCAAATGCAACAAAACCCTGTCTGCACTCCCACCAAAAAAAAAGAAAAACAAAAGAAAAACAAAAACAAAAATCATATGCCAAAAAGATACAAAATTAGCAAGTAAAAAATAAAGACAACAGGTGGCATCCCTTCCTCTCTGCTCTTCTCATGCTTCTCCCATGCAAAATCCTTGACTAAAGTGCCATATATTTTACATAGTTACTCTGAAAATGACTGGAACCCTAAAAATATCCTAACCACCAAACAAAAGCAGCTGCTTATTTTGATAATATTTTTGTACCATAGACCTTCCTTAAAATGCAAGTTCACAGAGGACTTATGCCACAAACCCAAACATGCACAATCCCCTAGAGTTAGCTTCGAGAGATGTTGTTGTAACTGCCACTGGCACAAAACACATTCCCAAAAGAGACTCACACTCACAAAAGAGAACTACATTATTACTCAGTCTAGTCAGAAGGCAATGTCATCAGGAACCTAATTGTAATGGATGTCCATTTAATGTTTACTGTCTCAAGCTCAAGACAATGGGCCTCAAAAACAAAACAAAACAAAACTTATAATAAACTAAACTACAGAGAAGCATGTCCTGTATTTAAATTGTTGGATATAAAATTGAAAAAAGTATAGGTTTGAAAATTGAATACTAAACCATCTAAGGTGTAATCACATGATTTTTTTTTAATGTATCCAATATCACGAGAAATTAATTACTCCCAGGTGCTAAACTCACTCATTTAGTGTCAATTCTACTGATTCTTAATTGTTAATACACAAACAATAATCATGCTCATATATAATACACCTTAACTGACTGAAATGTTAGATGGTATTTTAATATCTTTCTTTTTATACAATGTCTTATATCTAGAGTCCCTATTTCAAAAGAGCAGAAGGAATAATGCAGACATTTTCACAGAGAAATAAAGATGAGTGCATTGGAAGGCCTTGAAAAGTATTCACCAAATCAGCATAATCATATCTAGATTCTGCTTCCGGTTTCACTACTAAAATACAAATGATGTCTGGCCTACACTGGCTTTACAAATATTTTTAAATACATAAAACCCGGCCGGGCGCAGTGGCTCACGCCTGTAATCCCAGCACTTTGGGAGGCTGAGGCAGGTGGATCACGAGGTCAGGAGTTCAAGATCATCCTGGTCAACTTGCTGAAACCTCGTCTCTACTAAGAACACAAAAAATAGCCGGGTGTGGTGGCACAGACCTGTAATCCCAGCTACTCGGGAGGCTGAGGCAGGAGAATCGCTTGAACCCGGGAGGCAGAGGTTGCAGTGAGCCGAGATAGTGCCACTGCACTCCACCCTGAGCGACAGAGCGAGACTCTGTCTCAAAAAAAATAAAAGATATATATACATATTTATATATGTTTGCATATTTTTTTATATATATAAAACCTAAAACATGTTGAGTCCTTAATGATGAGAATATCCAAAGACACTGTTTGCACAGCACTTTTCTACCATTTTCAGGTTCTATACAGCATGGAAGTGCTAAGACGACCATCTAGATTAACATGAAGTATGACCCAGAGAAATTCAGATGGAATCCCACTCACTCAAAAAAGCACTTATTAAGTAGCTGCATTAATAGTAGCCTGAAGATTATCCGTCCTATCTCCAATTGGCAGCGGTTTATATCTTTTTCTATACATGTTCGAGGGTATAGAGAAACCATATGACTTTCCTGTATCTTTGATAACTCTTTCCCTGTGAAACAGACAACTGCACCACTTGAAAGTATCTTTAGCTTTTCATTTCAGCACTCCTCTCTTAAAATCTATTTTTCCATTTCCCTATACCTTTGTATTCCCTCTCTCAAGGAAAATGAAATAATTTTCCTTCTGCTCTTCCAACATAGCTTCACCTTCACCTTAAATTTTAAACCTTCCAGAAAGGGATTACTCTAAATGATTTTTTAAAAAGCATTCAAAATCGTGTATTATTCAGGCATTAACCGCATTTATTTACTGCCAACGCTACTGCTTCTCAATCCCTACCCTCTCCCTCACTCTCGCCCCTTAGTCCTCCTCTTCCAATATCCATTTTGTCTCCACTTTCAGTCTCCCAGGTCACTGTCCCACCTTTTCCTCAGGCTCTCTAAAATCAATGTCTACCTACCGCAGGTTTTCCCGAATAGTCTCCTCCTCCTCCGACTCATCACTATCCGCGTGACCCCCTCGGAATCTGCTCTGGTCCCTCACTCTCCCAAACTTCGGACCCCACCGCTACTCCCATCGCTGCCCCACAGTTTAGTGAACGCTCCTTACACCCTCCCTCCACCCCCAAAACTTCCCCTTAGGACCTCCCCAACTCCCACCTTCCCCGTTCCCAGACTCCACTAGGTCTCCTTTCAAATGAATGCCTCTTCCCTACTTTAGAGTTTTCGGACACTCCCACCCCTCAGAGCCCTCCCTGCCCTCGCCCGGCGCCCTAGCCCGGCACCCGCGCCGCCCCCGGGCCCACAGCGCCCCCGTGGGTGTGGCCCTCTGACCTGCCTCCGCGCCTCCCGCAGCCCCTCAAGCCGGTGACCCAGCTCCCGCCGGTAGCTCTGCGCTGCCTCCACATTCTCGCGGGCCTCCTGCAGCAGCAGCTCAGGCTCCAGCTCCATCGCCCCCCTCATCTGGCCGCGCGGCCGGCGACACCTAGCGCGGCTTCCCGACTGCGCCGGGCGCCTCCGAGCTGCCCGGCCCGGCCTCGCGCAGGCGGAAGCACCGCCCCGCCTCGCCCCGCCACGCCCCACGACGCCCCACGGCGCCCTTGATTGACGGGCGCGCTGCGGCGCCTCGCACGGGTGGCGTCTGGGTCCCAGCGCCGCCCGCCCCGCGGTTCACCCCGCCTCTTCCGTGCTGCGGCACAGCGCGGCTGGCTGGGCCTCCTTGGTAAACGTGCTGAGGCCTGGCAAGATTGATAACCAGCACCTCGCCAAGTGTTTCTCACAGCTCATCGCATTCTTGCCTGACCTTCAGCCCTACCTGTATCTCCATTGCTCAGACGAGGAAATTGGGAGATAAAGGTGGGAATCGGCCCGGCCCAGTGGTTCACGCCTGCAGTCCCAGAACTTTGGGAGGCCAAGGCGGGCGGATCCCTTGAGCCCTGGAGTTCGAGACTACCCTGGGCAACACGGCGAAACCCTGTCTTACCAAAAATACTACTGCTATTACTACTACTGCTACTACTAGCAACACGTAGTGGAGCGCGCCTGTGGTCCCAGCTAGCTACTCGGGAGGCTGAGTTGGGAGGATCGCTTGAGCCCAGGGGTCGAGGCTGCAGTGAGCTGTGATGGAGCCACTGCACTCCAGCCTGGGCGACAGAGCGAAACCCTGTCTCTAAATAAAAAATTCTTTTTTTTTTTTTTTTGAAGGAGTCTGGCTCTGTCGCCAAGCTAGAGTCAGTGGCGGATCTCAGCCTTACTGCAAAGCCCTGCCTTCCCCCGGCGTTCAGCCAATTCCTCTCTGCCTCAGCCTCCCCCCGAGGTAGCTGGGGAAGTAAACAGGCGCCGGCACCTTCCGCCCGGCTCTAATTTTTTTGTTTTTTCGTTATTTAGTAGAACGGTTTTCAATCCGTTGTTAGCCAGGATGGTCTCGATCTCCTGAACTTCGTTGGATACCGCCTTCTTCTTTCTCCGTCCCTCGGCTTCTCCAAAGTGCTGGGATTATCAGGCTTGTAAGCCACCGCGCCCGGCCATGTTTTCTTTTTTTTTTTTTTTTTTTTTTTTTTGAGACGGAGTCTTTCGCTCCTGCGCCCAGCTGGAGTGGCAATGGCCCGGATCTTCAGCTCCACTGCACGCTTTCCGCCCTCCCGGGTGTCAACTGCCAATTCTCCTGCCTCAGCCTCCCGAGTAGCACTGGGACTACAGGGCCCGTCCACTTTTGGCTGGCCCCGGCTTAAGTTTTTGATTTTATTTAGTAGAGACGGGGTTCCACCGTGTTAGCAGGGAAATGGTCCTCGATTCCTCCTTGACCCGTCGTGATCCGCCTCGTCTCGCCTCCAACAGTGTCTGGACTACAAGGCTTGAGCCACCTTCGCAGCCCTGCCCGCTTTTTTTTTTTTAATTTAAAAAATTTTTGAAGTAGCGAATCGACTTTTCCAAGCCTCAGGATTTGAGCCCAGATCTGGTGCCAGAGCTCTGAGCTCTGCTCCTTAAGAGCAGAGCACGCCTTAGGGCAGGTTACTAAGACCCAGATGTCAGCAGGGCGCGGTGGGTCACGCCTGTAATCCCAGCACTTTGGGAGGCTGAGACGGCTGGATCATTGAGGTCAGAAGTTCAAGACCAGCCATGGCCAACCTGGTGAAACCTCATCTCTACTAAAAATACAAAAATTAGCCAGGTGTGGTGGTGGGCGCCTGTAATCCCAGCTACTGGAGGGCTGAGGCAGGAGAATTGCTTAAACCGGGAAGCAGAGGTTGCAGTGAGCCAATATTGTGCCACTGCACTCCAACCTGGGCAACAAAGCGAGACTTGGCCTCAAAAAACAACACCAGGCTGGGCGCAGTGGCTCACGCCTGTAATCCCAGCACTTTGGGAGGCGGAGGCGGGCGGAACACGAGGTCAGGAGATTGAGACCATCCTGGCTAGCGTGGTGAAACCCCGTCTCTACTAAAAATACAAAAAATTAGCCGGACGTGGTGGCGGGCGCCTGTAGTCCCAGCTACTCGGGAGGCTGAGGCAGGAGAATGGCGTAAACCCGGGTGGCGGAGCTTGCAGTGAGCTGAGATCTGGCCACTGCACTCCAGCCTGGGCGACAGAGAGAGACTCTGTCTCAAAAAAAAAAAAAAAAACCACAACCAAAAAACAACAAAACCCAGGTGTCACCACCCAGAAGCTTGTGGACTAATGAGGGATCCAAGAGAGAGTCCCACGAGATGACCAGCAGAACAGCAATTCTGGCACAAGTCCAAGAAGGGTGTTGGCAAGTGTTGTCTGTAAGGACGGTAGTGAATAAGCTGGGCTTGGGCTTGCCAGACCAGAAGGTATCTGTCACAATAGTTGTGACTATATGTAATAAAACCTTATGGGCAGGGCATCGTGGCTTACACCTGTAATCTCAAGAAGCTGAGGTAGGAGGATTGCTTGAGCCGAGGAGTTCCAGACCAGCCTGGGCAACATGGCAAAACCCTGTCTCTACAGAAAATACAAAAATTAGCCGGGCATGATGGCGAACCTGTGGTCCCAGCAAATTGGGAGGTTGAGGTGGGAGGATCTCTTGAGCCAGGGATGTGGAGGCTGCAGTGAGCAGTGATCGCGTCACTGCACTCCAACCTGGGCGACAGAGACCCTGTCTCAAAAAAATAATAATAATACAACCCGGGCAACATGGCAAAACCCCTTCTCTACAAATACAAAAAATTAGCCGGGCATGGTAGCATGCTCCTGTAGTCCCAGCTACTTGGGAGGCTGAAGTGGTAGGACTGCTTGAGCCCGGAAGTTTGAGGCTGCAGTGAGCAGAGATCATGCCACTGCACTCCAGGTTGGTGACAGAGTGAGACCCTGTCTCAAACACAAAAACAAAACAACAACAACAAAAATAATAATAATAAGGAAATGAATAAATAAAATGTGTTGCATAGATAGAATGCTCAGGAAAGAAAGGGAATGAATCAGATCTATATGTATCATGAATGGCTTTTGAAAAAAAGTGAGGCGGGGTGTGGTGGCTCACCCCTGTAATCCCAGCACTGTGGGAGGCTGAGATGGGTGGATATCGAGATCAGGAGTTCAAGACCAGCCTGACCAACATGGTGACCCGTCTCTACTAAAAACACAAAAAAATTAGCCAGGCATGGTGGTGCGAGCCTGTAATCCCAGCTATTCAGGAGGTTGAGGCAGGAGAATCACTTGAACCAGAGAGGTGGAGGTTGCAGTGAGCCAGGATTGAGCCATTGCACTCCAGCCTGGTCAACAGAGCCAGATTCCATCTCAAAAAAAAAAAAAAAAAAAAAGCCCAGCAAATTGCTGGTGGAGGGCGGTGCCGGGCGCAGTGGCTCACGCCTGTTATCCCAGCACTTTGGGAAGCCGAGTTGAGCGGTCAGGAGTTGAGAGGTCAGGAGTTTGAGACCAGCCTGGCCAACATGGCGAAACCCCCTCTCTACTACAATACAAAAATTAGCCCCACGTGGTGGCACGCGCCTGTAGTCCCAGCTACTCGGGAGGCTGAGGCAGGAGAATCGCTTGAACCCGGAGGCAGAGATTGCAGTGATCGGAGATCGTGCCACTGCACTTCAGCCTTGGCAACAGAGGGAGACTCCGTCTCAAACAAACAACAAAAACGATACACTCAAACAAATGTAACAGGCTATATTTAATATAATTGCAACTTTAATGTAAAAAAAAAAAAAAAGAAAAAGAGCTATTTTACCAAGGACCCGCCAACATGGGGCGCGTTCGCATCAAAACTTTGAAGTAAAGAAGGCGGCCCGGGTCATTATAGAAAAGTACTACATTCGCCTGGGCAAAGACTTCCATACGCACAAGCGCGTGTGTGAGGAGATCGCCATTATCCTCAGCAAGAAGCCCCGCAACAAGATAGCAGGCTATGTCACGCATCTGATAAAGCAGATTCAGAGGGGGCCAGTGAGAGAGAGGTATCTCCATCAAGCTGCAGGAGGAGGAGAGAGAAAGGAGAGACAATTGTGTTCCCGAGGTCTCAGCTCTGGATCGGGAGATCATTGAAGTAGAATCCTGACACTAAGGAAATGCAGAAGATTTTGGACTTCGGCAGTCTGTCCAACCTGTAGGTCACCCAGCCTACAGTTGGGATGAATTTCAAAACGCCTCGGGGAGCTGTTTGAGTCTTTCTGTAATGCTGTAATATTTTCAATAAACCTGGGACAATGAAAAAAAAAAAGAAAAAAGAAAAAGTAAAGGCTAACCAAATCCATGAAAACAATGCAAATGGTGCATGAGATTAGAAACCAGAAAATTACTGGCACCCTGCGAGGACTGAACACAGGCCAACCAGATGAAGAAATGACTGCCTTTCTCGGCTGTTCCAGAGGACGAAATCCACAGAAGAAATGCCTCCTTAGTCGAATAGGTACTTCGACTTTTACAGGTATAAAAGTCGAATTTCGGATCCTGAGTGGACGTATATTGAGGTAGAAGGCTCGACCAAATATTAGCATTTTATTGTGCATGGTAACAATGTAAATTATTTCCTTTTTCTGCATTTTCCTCTTTAAAGAGGGACTAGCCTAGGGCGTTAAGAGTCTAAATTTTAATTCTGTCAACAACTGACTAGGTGACTTAGTGAAATCACGTCCTCAACGGTGAAACTGATAGTACAGAAGTTCAAATTTCCAAATTCCCGGGTTGGCTTTCAATTCCACCATGCGAGGGTTCCGCCCCCCGCGAGTTTGCCAAGGGAGTTATTTTGGCCCTCTCGGCTTACCGTCCGCGCAGCCTCCAGAAACAGCCGTAAACTCCGCCCCTTGCGCTCTGGACGGCGCGAAAACCCAATTGACAAGAATTCCCTCCGAAGCTCTGTGGTCCGATCTGCGTTCCGCTTGCTTTCCCCGCCCAGGCCCGGTCCCGGTCCCGGTCCCGAGCGCTCAGCCTGGAGCGCCGGTTTCGAGGGCACCCTGCATACACTGGCCGTGCCTCAGGGATCTCGCTGCCCGCGCTTTCTCATTGCCTCTTTCCGTGTTCGACTCGGCTGATCTGGGCCCAGCCTCCGCTCCGGCTCCCTGTCGGTGGGCGCGGGGGAATCCTAAACGGATTCCC